TTTTGTGTTGTAATAATCATTAGCTGATAGAAAAAAAGAATTTTTACTTAGGAGGAAGCTTGATGAGATTGAAATGCAGAGGAATGCTAACATGGTAGAATCAGTGAAACCTTATCATATATCATTGTCACACAAGTTTGAGCCATCTGTTGGCCAATTATCAGGTAACAGATGGCTCCAGCAAATTGCTGTCCTAGTATTTGTATGCAATCGTCCAAATGCTATTAGAAATCATCTAAAAAAATTACTCAGGTAAATTAACTATTCACTTTTTGCAAAAATTATGTAGATTAAAAAAAATTATTTATGACTTTAATTAATTAAATTAACAACCATGACTCTTTTTGTTGCTTTTATTTTAATCTGAACGATAACTATTTCATCTCAGATATTATTGCCTAAAATTATATTCCGGAAATATTGATCCTAATTTAAAATATTGTTGACAAATACTAGCATACTTTTATCAGTAATTTTAAAATCATTCAGAACAATATTTCAAATGATACATATTATTAATGTGAGAAGAAAAAAATGTATAAATTCAGGTATCGACCATCAGCTCAAAAGTTTCCAATAATAGTAAGTCAGGATTGTGATGATCCTAATGTCAGAAAGGTCATCGAGAAATTTGGTACCGATGTGATGTACATTAAGGTGATTTTTTTCATTTGTTATTTTAATAATCAACAATACTAATTTTTTTTTTTAAAAATAAATACTTAAGTAGATAGAAATTATTGACGAATGAAAATGGAAGTAGAAATTTTCTAAATCAAGTGGAGAATGAAATTTTATTAAATTTAATTGTTAATTGATAAGTTAATTTTTTTTTTTGCAAATATAAGAAGTAAAAAATTAAACGTATTAATGGGCAAATGAGAAAGTAATGGTTGTTCAGTTTCATTAAACGTTTATTTTTTATTTCCTAAAATTTATTTCAATTTATGATAAGATTGAATTGATGCTTGAATTTCGGGAATTTGGAAAGCAGTACAACTAAGAATGCTATTTTATGATGAAAATAAATTCATTCATCAATTACACTTTAAAAATTGCTGGAAAAATTATCTGTGAAATTAATTAATAAGAAAGGAAAAATTTTTAATTGGTATAATATTTTATATCATTTATAGCATTTGAATGGTCAGAGTGCTCATTTCATAGTAAGGCCGCAACAGGAACGTTATATCACTTATTATCAGATAGCACGACATTATAAACTTGGTCTATCATATGTATTCGATAAGCTTAATTATTCCACTGTTATCATCACTGAAGGTTGTTTTGTTTGATTAATGGTATTTCCATCCAAATTATTAATTATATCTCTTTTTTTACTATAATTAATTAAAATGTTTACATTTAAATTCAAAATTAATACAAAAATTATCATCACGCTGCATTACAGATGATTTGGATATAGCACCTGATTTTTTTGAATACTTTAGCGCCACACGTCCACTTTTGGATGCTGATAAGACATTGTATTGTGTATCAGCATGGAATGATAATGGTAAAGCTAATTTAATTGATAAGAAACAACCTGAACTGTTATACCGTAGTGATTTTTTTCCTGGACTTGGATGGATGATGACTAAGTAAGAGCGAGATTTTTTTTTTTGCACACTTCTCAAAAATTTATTCATTAATTATTGATAATTATTTTATTAATTATTGATGAAATTGTAAACAACAAATACTTCAATACAGATTATATTTCCAGAGCAATATTTTCAATTTTCTTATCAATTAATACAATCAATTCGATATTTGTATGATCGAATTTTACAAATTACAAAACTTAGAAAAGTTTAGCTTACATTTGGCTTCATTTGTTTTTTTTTTCATTCTAGAGAATTATGGAATGAATTAGGTCCTATTTGGCCAGCTGGATTTTGGGATGATTGGATGCGTAACAATACGATACGTAAAAATCGAGCTTGCATTCGACCTGAAATATCACGTACTGGTATGACTATTGAGGGCAAAAAAGGTGCAAGCGGGTAAAATATTATTTATCAAATGAAGAGAAATGAAAAATACACAAATTATTGTTGATTTGAATAAAAAGAAAGAAATTAAATTATTTACGTCATTAAATGGAGAAAATCACTTTCAATAAATTAATTTTACTCATATATATGTTATTGAGTATTATTAGGAATGCAATTCAATTCATTACAGGGGATTGTTTTTCACCCAACATCTTGTCAAAGTATTTCTCAATGAAGTGTTTATAAATTTTACAAAATTAAACTTACGCTATTTAATTAAAGTAATGTTTCTTCATTTTTATTTCTATCTTAATCAATTAACTTAATTGACAATGATTTTCCTGAACCTATTTGCAGTGAAACAATTATGATAACCATATGCAATATTCCTGGTAAATATTTAATAACAAATAATTTAACAAAATTAACTAAGCAAAAAAAAAGGAATGATAATTTTTAGAAAAATTATGATTATGCATTTTTGAAACGAGTTTTTGCCGCGCCGCTTATCTCATCAGCTGATCAACTGATGAAAGCTATAATGAATGGTAATAATGCGACACGTATTCAATACAGCACATTAGAAAATTATCTTCAAATTGCTAATCAATTAAAAATAATGCGGGATTTCAAGGTGATACAAAATAAAATTTCCATCAAGATTTTATTTGTGTTATTTGAATACTTTTCTTTCTGAATAATGCTAACAAAAAAAAAAAAATAAAAAGAAAATAAAAAGAAAGCAAGGAGAAATTTAGCTAAGATATTAACTTCTTTTTGAAAAAAAAAATTTTTTTCATTTTTTAATTTATCAGAAAATTTGTTAACTTCAGAGAGTTAAAAAAAACAAAAACTTATTTGAAATTTATAGGATGGAGTACCACGGACAGCATATATGGGTATAGTAACATGCTTTATGAATGAAGTACGGATATATATAGTACCAGATTTGAATAATTGGTCAGGATACGATCCAAATTGGGAAGCACCACCATCATAAATATATATATGATAATCTCAATGCACAAAACCTCATTCATCTTTTCTCTCAATTTCATTTCCCGGTTTTTTTAGCTTTAATTTTTAAATTCATTTTATTATCAAATTAATAATAATAATATGATGATGATAATGATAATGATAATGATAATAAATAATAACAATAATAATAATGGTTTTTGTTCTCTCTTTCTCTCTCTCTCTCTCTCTCTTTTATTGCCCTAATTTTTCATTTTCATAAGAGTATTTCAGGTTAGCTATTTATTTATAATATGTCAGGTAATTTTATTTGTCAAAGATTTCCGATAGTTGAGATTTTTGATTAACTATCCCGTTCATCAAATATTCAACTTATGAAGTTAATTCAGTTCAATGAACAGTTATATCTTATAGCTCTTTACTAGTAATATTTTCGAAAGTAATATCAAATTTTAATTTAATAATTCATTGTTGAATATTTAAAATATTTGTATTGAATTTAATTGCTGGATCATCTCATTAGAAGGTAGCTTTAAGCGCTAATTTTTGCTAATTTAAAATTTTTTGTTAATTTATTTTGTGTTACACTCACTCAATTACTTTTGCTAAATTGTTCTGAACTTTTCCAGCTTAGATTTAAAATTCTAATTAATAGACATTGCTAATAATAAAGCAATAATTTTCACAATCTTTATGATAGAGAGATATTCAGAATGATATAACAGCAAATGGGTTGAAATAAATAAAGATAAACTGACCGCATGAATTGATGAAAAATCAATTATATTCTTTTTTGTTAATTGAATTTAAAAATTTTATAATGTATTTCAGTTTACAGTAACAATTAGGTAAAATTTACAAGAAGTAATTTGCTATTATTAGCAAATAAATTGTTGAAATTAATTACTGTGTTAATTAAATTGGTTTTATTTAGTGATTGATATTCAAAATGGCCTTAGCTTTGTTACTCATCCATTCCTCATTTAACTTATCTTTTTTAATGTGCTCAATACAGTCTTTTGGTTTGTTTTATGTATGCAAATATAATTATTAGTATTCGTATAGTTAAAAAAAAATTTTTTTTAATTTAAACAATAATGTTATTTGCATGCACAGTAATTCTCGCGTATGATATTTTCCTTCCAATATTTCACGTTAAATGAAGAAGAAATCTGTAACCTAAAAAAAAACGAGATTAAAAAAAATTTATTGTACGGAAATTGTTTGATCAGAAATCATTCAGAGTATTGCATTTTGAGAGCTCACTGATTTTTACATATCAAATAATATTAGCTATCGGATTAATCCCCGATAGCGGAATTGAAAAAGCTATGGGATAGCAGATGAATGGTATGAAATTGGTTTAAATTGCAAGTGGCATTTGTAGCCTGAAAGGGACATTTACGCTTGCTTGAAGCATCATTTCGCTTATTATTACAAAGTGCATTTTGCATTTAAACACTTAAATTAATTAATTGAGAAAAAATTTGAAAAAACATATCAATCTATATGATTGTTATAGATAAATTAAATGACTTATTTTCTATTTTCTACACTTTTAAAATTTGTGACTTTTATTTAGTCTTTCTCAATCATTTAAAATTGTTCACATCTCACTCATTCATTCCTAAACGTCAAGATTACGTCAAGTTAATCAATCAGTTAACTATAAATTCCGAAGCTATGGTTTTTTTTTTTCTCTCACCATCACTATTTTCATCCATTTGTTTATAATAAAACTTTAGCATCAATCACTGAAAAAATGGCAAATAGCGAAGTATCGTAAAATGCACGTAACATTAATCATTTTAATTTTCTCTTCACATGTAGGAATGATTATTTGCGGAATATGCTGCGATATACTGGATGGGTTTGCGATGAGGAAGTTAATTGTTGTTGTAATGATAACTTGGATCTGTTGAAATCGAGTAAATGATATTGGATATTGAATTTTGGAAATTTTCTTGTGATTATTGATGAATAGATGCTGAGCGCAATTGTCATAAATACCTGACTGTAAGTATGCCGCCCTGCTTAGCTAATCTATCTTGCTGCATGCGTTCCTGCATGCAATTATCGCTACATATATAAAAGCAAACGAATGAATGTGTGCTTTGTTAACTGTGAATTTTTTTCTGCTTCTGAATTTATGAATTTCAAATACTGTAGGCTGTGATGGATAAGGAAGTACAGGTGATGGAGTGAAATGAAAGGTATTTGTTTGATAAGATTGCATGCAAAATGAGGTGCATGATGTGAATTGAACGAGATTTCCTGCTGTAATGATCTGCATGGACATACAATGACCATTCAACAATTCATTCCGGTGATGATTGATGCTAAGGGATAGGAGGCTTCTTTGTTGAGTACATTGACAGGATGGCATGTAAGCAATGTTAGCTATATGAAATGTTTCATTTTTCAATAAAGTTTTGGAAGTAGCGGCGATGATGACTTTGTTCAAGAGTATTGACATTATCACGCGTATCGGTGATGTGCTCAATTGTATTTTTGATATCGGAGCGGCATTATTCTTCTGTATGTCCAATTCCTATGTTTGATATTGCGTTGAAAAAAATTCTGGCATTATTTGTAATTGTTGTTGTTGTGATATTGATTGAGGAATTTTAACGATAGACGGAACAGATTGTTCTATTTTACACAACAAGATTGTTGATAACGGCAATATTGCTTTTTCATTCATCTTTAAAAACGGATCCGAATACAAGCTGATAAGGATGTCATCGGTTGCTCAGATTTAGGTGAATTTAATTCTTTCCGGTAGAATTCTTGTGGTCGTTATTGTTGTTATTGTTATTGTTATTATTGTTATTGTTATTGTTGTTATTGTTATTGTTGTTATTGTTATTGTTGTTATTGTTATTGTTGTTATTGTTATTGTTGTTATTGTTATTGTTGTTATTG